AACTAAGTATATCTCCGTCACGTCCTTGTAGCTAAGTGCATCTCCGTCCCGTCCTTGTAACTAAGTATATCTCCGTCCCGTCCTTGTAACTAAGTATATCTCCGTCACGTCCTTGTAGCTAAGTACATATACGTCATGTCCCTGTAACCAAGAACACCGCCGTCAAAACCTTGTTACTAAGCACGTCCTTGACAACCGTGGGACTATAGACACCCAATGCGCACCACAGACTCTTAATTACTTAGTAGATCGATCGGCAGGTATCACTGACCGCGCGTGCATTCGTATGTAAGGTATTGCTGATGTTTTGGTTATTCATTTTAGCAAGTGTCATTTTCCCCCAGCGGACTCGTATAATGCAACAGAATACAGTACTAACTTAATTTCAAACCGTGATGGGCTGACTGTAACAGACTGGGCGGCTGTTGAACACATTTTATAACAAACTTGTTATTTGAATAATTATATATGTCTGTGTGTATGATCAGTGGATCATACCATTGTCAAAAATACTAAGTTTTTTCGAGGAAAAGAGGCGGGAGGGGTGTGGGGTGTGTGGTTTGGATTGGGTGGGGTTGGGGGTGTAGGGATGTGAAGTTTGAATTGGATGGGGTGGGGGGTTGAGGTGTATGGTGATGTAGGGGTAAGAGGTTTGGTGTGGGGTCGGTTGTGGGGTGTGATGATTGGATTGGGGGGGGTGGGGGTGTAGTGGTGTGAGTTTGGATTTGGTGGGTGGGGGTTGGGGTGGAGATGTGAGGTATGATGTTTGGATTGGGTGGGGTGGGGGTGTAGGGGCGTGAGGTTTGGGTTGGGTAGTTCGGGGTTGGGGTGTGAGGTTTAGGAGTGATTGAGGTGGAGGTGTGGGGTGTGAGGTTTGGACTGGGTGGGTGGGGTGGAGATGTGGGGTGTGAGGTTTGGGAGGGGTTGAGGTGGAGATGTGGGGTGTGAGGGTTGGGAGTGGTTGAGGTGGAGGTGTGGGGCGTGGGGTTTGGGAGTGGTTGAGGTGGAGGTGTGGGTTGTGAGGTTTGGGAGTGGTTTAGGTGGAAGTGTGGGGGTGTGAGGTTTGGGAGTGATTGAGGTGGAGGTGTGGGATGGGAGGTTTGGGAGTGGTTGAGGGGGAGGTGTGGGGTGTGGGGTTTGGGAGTGGTTGAGGTGGAGGTGTGGGGCGTGAGGTTTGGGAGTGATTGAGGTGGAGGTGTGGGATGGGAGGTTTGGGAGTGGTTGAGGGGGAGGTGTGGGGTGTGGGGTTTGGGAGTGGTTGAGGTGGAGGTGGGGGGTGTGAGGTTTGGACTGGGTGGGTGGGGTGGAGATGTGGGGTGTGAGGTTTGGGAGTGGTTGATATGGAGGTGTGGGGTGTGAGGTTTGGGAGTGATTGAGGTGGAGGGGTGGGATGTGAGGTTTGGGTGTGGTTGAGGTGGAGGTGTGGGGTGTGGGGTTTGGGAGTGGTTGAGGTGGAGGTGTGGGGCGTGAGGTTTGGGAGTGATTGGGGTGGAGGTGTGGGTTGTGAGGTTTGGGAGTGGTTTAGGTGGAAGTGTGGGGGTGTGAGGTTTGGGAGTGATTGAGGTGGAGGGGTGGGATGTGAGGTTTGGGAGTGGTTGATATGGAGGGGTGGGGGGTGAGGTTTGGGAGTGGTTGAGGGGGAGATGTGGGGTGAGAGGTTTGGGAGTGGTTGAGGTGGAGGTGTGGTGTTTGAGGTTTGGGAGGGGTTGAGGTGGAGATGTGGGGTGTGAGGGTTGGGAGTGGTTGAGGTGGAGGTGTGGGGTGTGAGGTTTGGGAGTGATTGGGGTGGAGGTGTGGGTTGTGAGGTTTGGGAGTGGTTTAGGTGGAAGTGTGGGGTGTGAGGTTTGGGAGTGATTGAGGTGGAGGTGTGGGGCGTGAGGTTTGGGAGTGATTGAGGTGGAGGTGTGGGATGGGAGGTTTGGGAGTGGTTGAGGGGGAGGTGTGGGGTGTGGGGTTTGGGAGTGGTTGAGGTGGAGGTGTGGTGTTTGAGGTTTGGGAGTGGTTGAGGGGGAGGTGTGGGGTGTGAGGTTTGGGAGTGATTGAGGTGGAGGTGTGGGATGGGAGGTTTGGGAGTGGTTGAGGGGGAGGTGTGGTGTTTGAGGTTTGGGAGGGGTTGAGGTGGAGATGTGGGGTGTGAGGTTTGGGAGGGGTTGAGGTGGAGATGTGGGGTGTGAGGGTTGGGAGTGGTTGAGGTGGAGGTGTGGTGTTTGAGGTTTGGGAGTGGTTGAGGGGGAGGTGTGGTGTTTGAGGTTTGGGAGTGGTTGAGGTGGAGGTGGGGGGTGTGAGGTTTGGGAGTGGTTGAGGTGGAGGTGTGGGGCGTGAGGTTTGGGAGTGATTGAGGTGGAGGTGTGGGGCGTGAGGTTTGGGAGTGATTGGGGTGGAGGTGTGGGTTGTGAGGTTTGGGAGTGGTTTAGGTGGAAGTGTGGGGGTGTGAGGTTTGGGAGTGATTGAGGTGGAGGGGTGGGATGTGAGGGTTGGGAGTGGTTGATATGGAGGTGTGGGGTGTGAGGTTTGGGAGTGGTTGAGGTAGAGGTGAGGGTTGAAAGGTTTGGACTTGGTGGGTTTGTGTGGAGGTGTGGGGTGTGAGGTTTTGACTGGGTATTTGGAGTTGGGGTGTGGGGTGTGAGGTTTGGGAGTGGTTGAGGTGGAGCTGTTGGGTGTGGGGTTTGGATTGGGTAGGGATGGGAGTTGGGTAAACTGTATGTTGGAAACAGGAGAAACACTGATGGGAAAGGGATCAGAAAGTAACCAAATAAAAATGCTAAGTATCTCCACGGCAACAGACTTATTTCACAGTAATGTGTCAATATCGTATAGTAGGTTCTGATGTCATTTGTATACATATGTAACTGGCAAAGTGACAAGCGGTATGCATTGTAAACACATCTTATTTGACCGAAATTAAAATAAAAGATAATCGAGAAAGCGAATGTTCCGCTTAATCGGATAACGAGGATACCCTGAACACATTACGACCATTAAGTATTACAAAATAAACAGTTTCCACCGATTTAATGTTAAATAACTTTAAATGTCAAAGTTCAAACGTTTCATGTATCCCGATTGTGAGGACACTTGCACTTCCAGTGGGCAAATCAAAATAACTGCCTTCAGCTTTGTCATTTTGCATTAACTAAATATAATGTATTAATGATGATTCTATTCGAGTCTGTTTAAAAACAAGTTATAAATACTGTATGCAATCACGCAGTCTTTGAACCCAAATATAAGTGCAAATCAATAATAAAAAAAGCATACTAATGTCTAAAACAAATTGTCGTTATGAGCTCGGGATTATATAGCATATTAATGTTTATTTTTGTGCATTTTTTTGGTCAGGTAAGTATATATTTTAGCATGTATAAAATGTACATATGATTATCAACACAGTCGGGAAAACTAGTCTCTATGTATTTTCTATAACAAACATTTATATTTAAAACGACGGAAATTCGGAGTTTCGGAGAGTCTCCGATCACTGTTGGTTGTTTAAGAAAAATAAGGGGGGGGGGGGGGGGGGGGGGGGTCTTGGAAATATAAACTGTTATAGTCGAAATCAGGAGGAATTTAAAGTGTGTATGTGTGTGTTTGTCGGTGGAAGAGTTGGGTACACTATTATCTAAAAGCATAGTTTATTTTACATCTCTAAAACTGTCACCAACCAAAACTGCGAACTCGAGTCGCAATCATTGCACGAGCTAGTGGAATGGTAAGAGACGTCATTAAGTCAAAGGTCAGTGACGTCACGACAATAGCAATCCGCCACAGTGCTGTGGGTTTTTTTACATGCAACGCTTCGGGGGGACACCGGATCTGGACGGCGGACACCTATCGATCTGACGGTCGATATACAAGGCGAGTGTCTGGTACGGCAACACCGCCGTTATACTGTTTAGCAATTTATACCCCATTTACTTTCTCTAGCGTTATCTTTACATTAAATTAATAATTGATATACTGCGACATTTTTATTATATTTCTAGGATATTTAAATCGGAGCTGGTGTGAATAGTTCAACGGTACCTAGAAGATTTTGTTTGGGTCATAATTTATACATAGAAAACAGGAGGTGTTATCGTATAAGTGGCGGCAGTGTTTGTTTCCTCATAAGTAACGTTCTTCTTGTTTAAATATGTTTGCAATTTCTACTTTAAGAAATAATATTAAATTTAAAGTACACAATAACAGTGAAAGCTGTCTAATCCGACAACCTGTGGCATCTAATAAAAAACGCACTATTCCGACATGAACTTCTGAAAGTTACAATACTTCTCCAATCCGACAACCTGTGACATCTAATTAAAAGTAGTATTCCAAGGTACACACTCTGAAAATTAATTAAAGTCAATACATCCTGTCTAATAAGACACTGTGGAATCAAGTGGAATCTGTCAAACCGACTACCTGTCGAATATGATAAACTGTTTTATCCGACACCATTTGGGATCTACAATAAACTTAAATTAGACAAAAGGGCCGGTAAAAGAGGCTAGAGGCTTGAAAGTATGTCGAATACTCGACAGGTTTATTCTACGCTCTGCACGCGGAAATTATCTTTATCAATATGACTATCCGTCAAGGAAGAATGGACAGATCCTTCCCAAAACTGTGAATGTGATTGAAGTGTAGCATCTGTTTAACTTCCGCGTCCTATTCTTAAAGTGTTCTGAATGAATTTATGTTAAAACAAGTATGATCTGATACGACGTTCAAGTACAATCAAGTGTTATCACATTGAATCAGCCCCTACAGCGTCCGGATATATTGTCTATAAAGCAAAAATAAATAGGCCGTACCTTGTACACTTTCGTTAGAGGGAATGTGTAGTTTAGATTTTGTGTGTTTACTTCTGGTGACCGTTTTGTGGCGACACACAAGTCTATTAACTACCTCTAACTTTGTGTGGTATTGCTAGTTCGCTTAAACACTAGAGTAAATAATACATGTATGTAATTTAGTTTATTGGATTTAGTCCCATAAACAGCTGAAGTGCATCCGTCTGTTAAATAAATGAAATGTCGATATATTTGCCTCCTTCCGATAGCGCGAACCTGATGCCAACTTTGGAGTGCTACCTCACTGAAATACCATATCGAAAGCACACAGCACAGTATTTCATCCGGTCACATTATACTGAACAGGTAAAACCAGTCAGTACCACTACCAATTTACAGCTGAACGCCACGCAGAGAGCAGCCTCCGCGTCGGTACTAATTCAAAGGATTTTTATTTGTCCCGGTCAGGGGATAGAACCTATATATAACCTTACCAGTTTGGGCGAACGCTCAACATCAAGGCCAACAACGATATATTACCTAGTGAGGCTTTAGGAAACAAAGCGGTGATAAAGGTGATAATATGTAAGACAACGAATGTTGCGATGCGTGCAGCAGACTAATTTTGGTCGCGTTCGTATTTAAAAGTAGAAAGCATTAATTAAAACAATACCCAATTCTGCAGGGGTTCCCTATATTGGTCGCCTCTTACAAATCACTCAGCGGGTAACAGGCTAACAGCATGTATAATCTTCTCTAAATCCCGACCTGCAGTGGTGAATATGAAAACAAGTTATCACTGTCTTGTCAGTTTCGTCAGTCCATATATTAATGTATTTTATGTTTGTCAAGTAACAGTAAAGCGTAATCCATGTTCGTTGATCTATTTCGTATTCGCATAGCCCGATATATAGCCAAAACAAACCAAATTAATATAGTATCCGTCTCTTATTCGTCTCGCCTAATGCCACACAAACCATCGTTACACATATAGATTGATAATCTAAAAACCAACAAATAGGTCTAATACTGCTTACAACGTCATCACTTAATAATTTGAACGATGTGTAAGGTTCCACTTATTGACAGGGTTCCATTGTAAACGAGATTCCATAATACCAATCCGGATTAACGAAGTCCCGCAGCTGTAGTTAGAATCAGCGAGTTTCCGTTGTTCAATTCCGGATTAACAAGGTTCTGCTGTACGAGTCCGGATTTTCTTGTATTTATAATTGTGTCCGTAATTTGGATCGTATCTATTTAGACACGGAAGTGGTGTTTACACAAACTTGTGTACTTAACATAATCAATTTCCTCGCTAAACAACGAAATGTACACTCCAAGTTTGTTAATTACATGTCAAATCAGGTTTTCGTTTCAACCACAAAAAAATCATTAGGAACAGATCGTAACAAACAAATTAAAAGTCCACTTGTAATGGACCTCGGGCGATATCCCTTCCGTGTGTCGGCCGAGCTGTACCGAATGGATTACCTACAGGATTAGGCAATAATAAACAATATGAAGGTAAATTATCTCGTACCTTTCACCGACTAGATAACGCATTATCAGATGTATGGATCACATACCAGATTAATCTACCTACATAGAAATTGAACCTAGTTTAAATTGTATGACATGTCGATTTATAAATTCTGACGTAGTTCCCAGTCTGACCCTACCACAGAAGGGACCTGGAATTTTGTTACACTAGGTATGTAGAGAGTATTATTAGACGTGTGTTTTAGGGGAAATGGAAAACATGTCTGCGTAAGGAGTATATATATTTCCAAGATATTTCACATGGATATAGAATGTTATTGAAAGGAAAAACAATCAAACTTTCCGACGATACATAGCATTGTTGTACATTTTTTCATCTTTCATCCTCCTAGTTTATACCAATATTTCTTCTTTTTTTTGGGGGGGGG